ACTCAAATCTTGATTTATGACTTCATTTGAGTGATTTGTTTTCACTTAAAAACTTTTTTCATGGTTCTCATGTTTTTCTCATTCCTTTGTTTTCATAAATCTATTTTTATACATTATGTTTTTATAATTGTGTAATGAGACACTTCTTTCATAAATGACATATTAATATGTGTTCTCATTGTATTGTTTGTATGTGAGTTATATTTAGCATATCTTTTATTTATGCTTACTCACATGTTTTTGCCTTAGCTTTCATTTCATATATTCTATATGGCATTTTGATAGGGGGAGCTATTCCCTATACTTGTTTTATACTCACTCATGCATATTGATAGGGGGAGCTTTCGCTCTCTTCATTCTTGTTGTTTTTCCCTTTTTCATGTTGTCAAAGGGGGAGAAATATTGTGAGTATATATTTCCTTGTTTATATGCATGTGAATTATAATTTATATATTCATTTTCATTCATGCATATATCTTTTTTTGTAAATTGTTTGTCATCATCAAAAAGGAGGAGATTGTTGGCCTTCTTGTTTTGATGATGATTTAACAAACAATTTGCATCTAATATTGTTTGTCTAGTGTTTGTGTTTTGTTATTTATTGTAGACAAACAATAAGTTGGAGGATGGATGGAATAGCGCTTCAACGATCATATCCAATGGAGGTTGGAGGAATAGTGAGTGAAGCCTATGCAATTCAAGTTGAAGATCCAAATTCTAGCTTCATCCGTAATGTGTACCAAGTCAAGCTTATTGAAGATCAAGATTGCTTGGGTAACATTAGTTTAGGTTTATATTATGTGTGTTAGTACTTTAAGCTCAATCATATATACACACACATTATATTGGTTTCCTTGTATATATATAGTTATATATATATACAACACATATATATATATATATATATTGGTTTTCATATATATATATATATATATATATATACATATTTTAGTTTTTGGTTTCTATGTATATGTAGTCATACATATACATATATGTTTCTATGTGTATATATATATAGTTATATATATATACATACATAGTTTTAAGTTTTCATGCTTATAAATATGAGATTACATATTTATTATTGTGTTTTGGTTTTACTGTTTTCAAGTTTATATTTATGAAACAAATGAATATAATTGGAAAATACATTCTTGTTTCATATTTATATACATATATATGATCTCATCAATATCAAGTTTATTTAGTTAAATGAAATCATATTTATTGTTTTGAAAAGTTTGCATAGTATATGAAATTTTGAGAAAATATTGTTTTCTTGGTTTATGGACTTAACAATGATCATATACATCTTTTATTAAGTTTACAAAATTATTTTGTAATGTTTCAAAACATGCTTAAGCTAAAATGTCAAAACTCATATGTTCACATTTTCATGTTTTGAACTATTTTGCAAAATGATAATATTTCTCATTCGGGAGGTCCTTTTTAAAAACCAGTTTTTGTAGCATGTTTATTATCATGTCTACAATCATCTCCCAAAGTTTCATAATTTTTGGAATTTATTTGATATTTTTAATTTTGGTTTAAAGTTGATTTTTTCTGTGCATTTCAGATTTGTGCATGTTTAGTCGACTCATTAGTCGACTCATAAGTCGACTCACGAAGTGCAGCGCAATTATGATTTTTCTTCTGCTGAGTTGACTCATATAAGCTGACTCATTAGTCGACTCATGAGTTGACTCATAAGTCGACTTATGAAAGAGCCGTTCCACAGTAACGGCTAGTTTCCAGCAGTGTTTTCTGGGGGTTTTTTTGATCTTTTTCTTAGGGTTTTTGCTGAAGTTTTGGGTTCCTATAAATACCCCATTGCTCTCATTTTTCAGTTGAACCAAGAGAATATTTTAAAAAAGTTTAACAATGGTTTAAAGTTTGTTTAAGTTTGTTTAAAGGTGTTTAAGCCTTGTTTATGAGTTTCGTTTGTGAAGATAATTTCACAAGGGCTTGAGGAGATAATCTTTGGTGTTTGAGCTTCAAATCATCTCTCTCTCACTCTTGTCATTTATTAGAGAAGTTTTCTAAACTCAATCTAGCTTTATATTTTATTGTTTGATTATCATTTTATTAAGCTAGTATTTATATTGAGTTTAGTTAATTTTATTTATCTCTTTGTACACACACAATCATTGAGCTTATTATATTTTCATACTTAGTATAATTTGGGTTGTGGGATTGTGTGACTTAGAGTGTGAGCTTACATTGTGTTCTCATCCATTGTAGAGAACAAATTTATTTGTATTTGTGCCTAATTGTGAGGATCACTTTGTAATCCACTTTGTAATAGACTAGCTCCCTTTCTCTCCAAGCTGGTAGACTCCACACAATTTGCATTCCAACCTGGCAAAAGTACTCTTGATTCTATTCTTATAGCTCATGAACTCCTCCACACTTGTGTCTCTAGGAAAAAAGAGAGATGCATGATCAAATTTGACTTTGCTAAAGTCTTTGACTACCTCCATGGGGATTTCATTATTGATCTTCTCCTAGCTAGAGGTTTTGGACCAAATTGGTGTAAATGGATCAGATCCATTATATCATACTCTAGATTCTCCATCATAGTTAATAGAGTCCTCACTCATTCCTTTGCTAGTGTCAATGGAATCAAGCAAAGGGACCCCCTCTCTCCCATGATGTTCATTCTAACAGCAGATGTTCTCAACAAAATGCTCAAAGCTAGAGTGGCCTCTGGGAACTTGTCAGAACTTAATCTGAAAGGAGAACTTAACAGTATCAGGTCTCTCCAATTTGCAGATGACATCATTGTGCCCTGCAATGCTTCTCTTGAGGATATATTTGTGCTCAAAACCATCTTCTATCTCTTTGAGAATGTGTCGAGGATGGGAATCAACTTTGCTAAGACTAGCCTTTTTTATTTTGGGAAGTCTTCCACTAAGGGAAACCAGCTTGCTTCTATTCTCCATTGCACACTTGACACTCCCCCTTTCAAATACTTAGGTATCCCCCTCAAGAAAGGCTCTCTCTCCAGGTCATATTGGCAACCTATGATTGACAACCTCACTAAGAAGCTTTCTATGTGGAAAAGTAAACAACTTAGCATTGGTAGACGTCTAACTCTCATAAACTCTGTTCTAATTTTCACTCCTCTCTACTTCCTCTCCTTCTTCAAACTTTCCCTCTGGCTCATCAAAGAGATTGACAAAACCAGACGTAATTTCCTATGGGGGGCAAAGCTCTTGTTAACTAGAAATCAATGTGCAGACCTAAAAAGGAAGGAGGTCTGGGAATCATCAACCTCTCCGCAGCCAATGAAGCGCTGCTATCCAAATGGATGTGGAAATTCCTTAGGAAAGACTCTCTAGTTAGTCAGATTTATCTCCAATTCACCACAACCAATCTTCCCCTCTTACCAGTTGTACACCACCTAAGGCTAATGCATCTAAATTTTGGCATGATACAATCTATTCTAGTCAGGCTTTCTTGTCTCTAATTCAATGGAAACTGGGTAAGGGTCAATCTTCTCGCTTTTGGGAAGATAAATGGACTGGCTATACCCCTTGTCCTCCTTGTTCCCTCCAGCATTCAACGTAGCATTATCTAAAAATGTCAGCATCAGATCTCAAGGTTACATGCTAGATAACCAATGGCATTGGAGGCCCCTCATCTGTAGGCCGATATCCCTTCAGGAGATGAAAGATGTTTACGACATGAAAACCCTCCTGGCCAGTCTCAATGGGCCTAACTACCACCTTAAAGATGAAGTCCCTCTAGCCTCACAACTCTATGAGACTTTTCACTGTCAACTCTTTCTATCGCATTCTATCTTCTGGTGGTATCAAAAGTGAAGCTTACAGTTCCATTTGGAATAATTTCCTTTCTAGCAAGGTTAAGATCTTCTCTTAGCTACTATACAAGCGCAAGCTCCACATTAAGCACAACCTAGCTATCAAAGGCTGGAAAGGGGACACAGTGTGTTCTATCTGTAATTCAGCAATAGAAACAGATTCTCATCTATTCTGAGAATGTCAGATTATTACCCAAGAATGGAGACATTTTCTGCTTAAGCTGCAACTCAATATTACCAACCGAGACTTTGACTACATCCTTGACTCCCATGGTTCATTCATCCCTAACACACAACACCGTCAGTTGTGGCTTTCAACGAAGATACTTGCGACAGCCAGCAACCTAGGACTGCAGAATTTCCAGGGATCCTATTCTGACATGGTGGGAGATAATTTTTAATGAGTGCTCAGGCTAAGGGGCCTCTTCTGATTGTACATAAAGCTCTCATTTGAAACTTGCGTCTCTGGATGTATATTTTCATTGCGTCTCTGGATGTATATTTTCATGACTAGGTGGAGTTTGAGCCAACCGGGCCGCACCCAATTTTTGTAACTATTTTTGTTTAGCAGTCCAAGTTTGGACGATTGTCCCACTCTCGTCCCTAGTATCAATTGATGTCAAAAGACCACTCCTTGATCTAGACGTGAGTGAACTCTCTTCCAAACTCACGGCTTTGTACAAAAACTTCTCCTACTTATATATACATAATCTTCTTTTGAATAGGGCGTTTAGCCCTATTTTTGCGTCAAAAAAAACTTCCAAACAAAGACATGCAGAATTGCCAGATTGTTACTCAATTATCAGATTGTTACTCAATTATTTTCTGAAGCATTACGTAAAAGTCTCTGCAGGAATATCGCAGCAAATACTCTATATATATAGTAAGATACTGTAACAAGGTATCATTGGGTTCTCTCAATATTACAACAATCGCAAAACTGGCCAATCAAGTTTTAAGCATACAGACTCAACAACTAAGTACACTTCTCTACTTCTCTTCCAAACTCACGGCTTTGTACAAAAACTTCTCCTACTTATATATACATAATCTTGTTTTGAATAGGGCGTTTAGCCCTATTTTTGCGTCAAAAAATACTTCCAAACAGAAACATGTAGAATTGCCAGATTGTTACTCAATTATTTTCTGAAGCATTACGTAAAAGTCTGTGCAGGAATATCACAAGAAATACGCTATGTATATAGTAAGATACTGTAACAAGGTATCATTGGGTTCTGTCAATATTACAACAATCGCAAAACTGGCCAAACAATTTCTGAACAACTAAGTACACTTCTCTACTTTTGTCCAATACTATATTAGCTAGTAACTCCTGAAATGAAAATGGCATTTTCCTTGCAACCTATTATAGACACGAGTACCTACACGAGTACCTACCGAGCTTTAACTCCTCATCAAACTAGCTGTAACAGCTTAACGATCTTGAAATGATGCATTCATAAGGCTAACAGCTGAATCCATGAACTGTAAGAGGAAACCACATTAGCAATAATAATTACAGATCCCCCAACATAGGTCTTCTATTACTTCAGGAATGTAACTTTAAGAGCATTCGTCAGTGATAAATCGAGATCGATTTCTTCTAAATATATGATGGCGTGTTACACACATTCTGCAATTGATGCAGATCAATAATTACGCACAAACAATGCTGCAAGTTAATGATCTAAAACATGTGCAGGTTTGCTAAATTTATTTCATACCATGATAGAAGAAAATAGTCCAAATATTTGAGGTCAAACTAGTAAAGATGGGGAGCTAAATGGTTTTAAAATTTGAGACTAAAACCCGGAACTGAGGTTGCTAGCACAAAGCTTACCTTATCAAATCATTCATCAGCAGACAGTAGGCTCATTTCTCAATCTTGATTACAAAGTTCTTAGACAAAAAAGAAACAAAAAAAGAAAAAAAAAGGATTTCTCCAATTCAGCTTTAGTGAGGCCAGAAAATTTTCATAATACTAGCGAATAGAAAATTTCAAACAGCTGCTTGTTGAAGAGGACTATCAAGCTTATCTTAGTCTCCTAAAAGTTTAGGTGTAGTTATGGTTTGGGGAAATTGCTCATAGAAGAAAATTTTCAAGTGTTGTTTTCACTTGATAGGAAATTGTGAACTTGCATTAGCAGGTCAACAGTGTGGGTTATCACAAATAGAAGTAGTAGTTATTACTTATTAGTATCTAAAATGGCTGTGAAGGGTTTATTGTGAATATTAATGGGGGATTGGATCTCCCTGGTTCTCTAGAAAATTAATGCACCTGTCAATGCACTTGACCAACCTTAACACTGCTTGTGGATTTCTATACAGAATTCATAAGTAATGAAGTTGAGTGACAGTATCCTATTGTTATTCCTACTGTTATTCCAGTCTGTAAATTCATTAATGTTGTGATAGGAGATTGGCAATTGACATGCAGAGTCAACAGGAAGAATGTTGCAGGCTAATTACACAATGGCGTCAATAGAAATGTACATGTTATGTCTTTCATACCATCTGAATAGAAGAGAATAGTCCATACACTGGAGGTTAACTACAGGGACTTAAATGTTTTTTTAAGAATTTTATCATTACAACTTAGTTTGGAGGGTCCTAGCACAAAAGCTTAGCTTATCAATCATGCATCAGCAAAAGCATTAGGCTCACTTCTCAATCTTCATTACAAATTTTAGACATAAAAGAAAACAAAAACAATTAAAAATTATCCCAAATATTTCGGTTAGCTAAACAAATCCTTTTTCATGATTCAGCTCTAGTGAAGTCAGAAATTTTTTTCAAGATAAAAGCGATTAAAATTCCAATTCCCCAGGCTGCTATCCCATTATAATGAACTTAAAGACGGTAATAACAATGAGAAACTGTTACTCAACTTCATTATTTATGAAATGTGCTTCCAAATTCACAAGCAGTGTTAAGGATGGTAAAGCACATTGACAAGTACATTAGTTTTCTAGAGAATCAGGAAGAGCCAGTCCCTCATTAGTATTCAAACTAGACCCTTCACATCCATTTAGGATAGCAGGAAGCAAAAACTACTTTTCCCATTTCGTGTGATGCAGTCCCAATGTTTTAAAAAGCCCTCGCCTAGCCTGCATAGGCGGTACCTACGCCGCCTACCTAGCGCCTGGTGCCTAGGCGGTATCTAGGCTGCCCACTTAGGTTTCAAGAGCGCGTAGGAGAGTGTGGACTGCCCCCTTTAATCGCAATTTTCTTCGTTGTAGCCTCCACACCCTCTAACCTCCTCCAAACTCCTCTAGGCTTCAACTATGATCACCTCTTCTACCTCCTCTGACCTTCATCCTCCACGACCACTTAAATGAAGAAAAAAATTCCTCTAGGCATCAATTCGACACGTAAGCCTTCTATAACATTGGTATTTACTATCAATTATTGTATTTAAAAAATAAAAAAAAGAAAACCACCTAGACCCCCGCCTAAGCTCCCGCCTAGGCGCTAGGCGTTGGGTCAAACGCCTAGGCCGCCTAGCGCTTTTTCTGTAACCTTGTGCAGTCCTACGATATTACAACTCCAAATTAAAAGCTCTCTCTTCATGATGTGTACCAAAACATACAAGAAACAGTTAACTAACATATAAGTAAAGTTACGCCAATGGTGTTGTCGACTTTGATGATTGGATCAACCAAACTGAAATTACCAATTTCCCATTTGAAAGTGAAAACAGCACTTGTAGTTTTCTTCTATGAGCTGTTTATCAAACCATAAGTAGAGCTACACTTTTACGAGCGTAAGTTTGATAGTACTCTTCACAGAGTAGCTGCTGCATTTCCCTAGGACAATGACCAGTTAAAAGCTTTTCCTGTGAATGGATTTATCATAAAGATTATTTCATCATGTACTAAACCATACTTCATCATTTGCTAATTTTTTTGTGGATGGTCTGGTGAATTTTTAAACTTGATCAGTTCAAGCAAACAGTAAAATCATGAAAAGATTGCAGCTACAGTTAATCCACAATGTATGTTGCCGCATCAAAAATAATTGCTTACGCCCAACAAAATTGGAAGAACTGTAACACAAGAAATCAAGCTCATAGACTAAGAAAGAAACGTGCCAGCACACTCCAAGATGAGATCAAGTGATGTAGAAATCGCTAGTGAAGTATTCTATTCTAGTGTTTGACCAAAACATGCATATAACTTAAAAAGCTGATTTTGAAATATAAAATCACTAGTTTGTTATTCTATTCTCCATAAGCATGCATTTCTAAGGAGAAAAATGGTAAGTTCTGATTGTTACCTTCCCAATGGCCTTAAGTTCCCGTCCCATAGGTTCCAGAAATTTTAAGTCGACTTCAACAGGCCAGACCTGCATAAAATAGAAAATGCACACATTTACATAACTATCTTGAAAATAAATACTTGGTAACTGTTTAACATTGTTCCATATGGTATGTCCTCGATCAGAAAACAACTATACAAGTTCATGACAATCAATAAACAACGAACGAAACCCAAAAAAAACAAAATAGGACATGCTGTAATGAAAGATAGAGCTAAAGCTACATACAGAAGGGGGGGAAATAGGCGTTGAATAACTAGGACTGAATCCTGTTTAGCAAGCTGTATCACACTTTCTTTATGAGAGTAACACTAGAATGTTCTGCAGATTACGATTGTGTCAAGAGATTTGTAATAAGCCTCTGATTGAGGAAAGTAAATGGAAGCATGTTTTAGAGCGCCCATTGTGAAATACAAGGTGAGCAAAGTAACATGTGAATCGTGATACAATTTTCCGAGAAAGACTATGGTCATAGAACCCATAAATCAGAGATACATCTTCTGAAAGGGACATGTTATGTTGGCTTAGTCAATAATTAATGTGTTATTAATCTATGTATTAAATCTTCAGATGAGACATGTTACATGGAAACAGCAATATTGGCTAGTCTCTTTCCAGCATGCTTCCCATCCTCCCAACCATTTCAATAAAATCGGAAAAGAACAAAACATTATCAACCACCTGATCCAATCTATCCATATAAAGTTGAAATAGGCATGTTCACAACATATGCTTCCAAAGAAATGTTAAACCTATAATGTTCCAAGTAAATCTGATCAGATCAAAGTATCTCAAAATGCCAGACTAAGACTTAACAAGGCCTATCAACATCCGCTAGTGTTTTTTGACATAAGTTTCCGGGGCTCTAGTCCAGGAAACAGACCACAAAGATACACATTCACTTCCTATAGAGGTCTTTCTCACATGAGGTAAAGGCATAAATGCAATTTCTTTGAATTACTAAAGGTTCATAGTAGCCATTCCCCAGGATCTTAGAGAGGGTACCGAGTACATAATGGCCTTAAAGTGATACTGTACATAAGAGTAAATGTGTCATTGCTTCACGCCCTAAGTCCTATAAGACAACTGCATAACAATATGTGTGATCAATTGTGCCATCAGGTCAATCCCATCATTAATTGAAAGATATCACTAAAAAGACCACAACTAAAGTCAAGAGAATATTAAACAGTACATACCTATAGTTCAATTATTCAACCTATGAGCAATAATTTGCAAAGAAAACAAGCATATATTGTCAAAACTCTCGAGCTGTAGAATACCAACAAGCAACATTTACCAGAAGGGGGAAATTCGTTTCTGACCAAAGTATGCACCAGGTCAATGAAGAGATTAACTATGATGAACATTATATTGATTTCAAAACTAGTATCTAAGAAACTACAAGAATCTGACTTGATCTCAAAATTCAATTTTAAGGATCAGAAAACAAAACCTCAAAATAGTGAAGGGGCTCAATTATATACAAGGGTTATTTGCAGATGCACCCATATCAATGGGTATCAAGACTTAAAGGATATCCAAGAAGGTCATGACGAAAGAGGATTAGATTTATTCTTGATTGAGTTGTTTAGTTTCAGTAGAATCATGTATCATTGGTTTAGTTGAGTCACCTTTTGAATTAGTAGATTTAATCTATTTGTATTGGTGAAGTTAATTTATAATTTTATACTTAGTTTGTTAGGGCCATGTTATGTCGATTTCGTTCAGTCATCTTTTGTATTAGTTGATAGGTCCAATTGTATTACTTTAGAAACACAAGATAACTAGAAATTTAAATATGACTTAGTATCAAATTTAAATTTAAAAGAGAAAAGAAAGGAGAAGGCATATACAAAAGAGGTTTTCATCAGTAGAACTTTATGACTGATGTTTTTGGCAACTGGAGAAAATAGGATATAAAAGAAGATGGCGAAAGTGAAGTTTTCAACATGAGTGCTACGAGTACGAGTGGTTTCATCATTGCCTCAATTGGTCAAGATTCATAAATCACTAGAAAGAAATGGAACAAAAAGAATACGAAGAAATGGTATGAAATATATTTTTGGTGAAGTGTGCATTTGAATTCAATGCACAAAGACAAAGAGCATAACTTTCAAAGGAAACAGAATAAGCTTCATAATATAGAGATTTACCCTATAAATCATGTAATGACTCCCATGGCTAGTTTTAGAAAATAATTTATCCATTTTTGTTATCAAGCACACTTGAGAAAACAAAGGAACATACAGGCCTGAAGAAAGCATCAATTATATTCTGGTGGCAATTTAGAACCATCAAGCCACTAGTTCAGATAAAGCATAACCACATTTTAAGAAGAATACTACAGTCATTAATGCAAGAACCTCTCAACTCTTGGCAAGGTCAACAAGGCTAACGTCAAATAGTCTGGAAAGTTTAGATGGTTGTAAATTGTGATGGTGGTTGACATGTTAATGTTTCAGCAATGAAGTGATAATCAACCCATCAACACCTCAGCCTAACACGATATTGAACAAAAGCAACAATCCGGTACATTTACTAATATGGCAGAGAATAGAACGAGTTGATTAGAATTAAATCAAGATCATACAAAATAGTTTGAGAACCTCACATTAATTAACTTCAGCCCACATTTGATTTCCCTGGAGGTATTAAAAAAACACTAAATCTTAAGAGCATGGAACGGTCTGCTTAATTAAAAAAATTGAGGATAGGTAGCATTGTGATTGGTAACTGACGGATGTATTCAGTTTTCATTGAAATATAAACAAAGAGAATTACCATAGATTATATGAATCCTTCTACTAAAGCTTCAAAAAGGTCATCATCCATAAGGAAAATGAAAATACTCATAAGAAATTTTGTCTGCCATTATTGAAAATTCAAACAAATTGCACAAGCAGAAATACTGATAAAGAAAATGGTTACAAACAATTTCTGTATGTAATTTGATAGACGATTTAGAAAAGCCAGTTATAGCTCAGATATAACATAAGCTTGAAATGTATAATAAAAAATTCTCAGCAAGAATTGTTGCAGGTTGTGAAGTACAATATGTCAGTTATATACCTTTTCCCTCATTTTAGCAAAGGAAGAATATGGACAATATATCCTATTACAAACAAGCATAAGATTGGAAGTATCAGCTAGTGCATCAGCAAAAGATCATATCAAAGTTCAATCCATACAATAACTTCCATCTCAACAATGACAAAGTAAAATGGAGCAGCAAGTTATACAACATCAAAAACTAAACTATGCGTGAATATTTCAGCGTTGAAATGAGGACACTATGTATAGTATGACACATTAGACCCTCCAGAACAGCTACGAAGAATTGGACGTGCATTCATTCAAACTCACAAATTACAACAACATCCGCAGTCAATTAAGTTATTGATTAGATTCATTTTCATCTAAAATGTTCAGTAATAAAAGGAACACAACAAAATTAAGCCCGAGTTTCTTCTGTGTTGTGTGTGCGATAGTGAAGAGAGGAAAAGAATCAAAAGATAAAGAAGACCTTACTTATTTCCCCGACCTAAGCGAAAACTAGTGAATTCTAAATGAATGAAATTTCTCAAGCACATCAGAAGAATAATAATAATGCAGAGCACACCTTTTTTAAAAAAAAAATAAAGGAGAAAAACAAATTTTGAGTTGAGGGAGCTCAACCTTCAAGCCAAGAAACTTCACCGGAGTAGCCAGACCAGGCACAACGCACTCCGGCCCCGCCGCCTCCAGCCTCGCCTCCGTCGCAAAACCCTCGCCAATCGGATCCCGATGCTAACCAAAAATAACAACAAAAAATCAAAAAAAATAGTAGAAAAAGAGAAATAATAAGGGTGAGGTGTGGTCACCTTCATGACGGCGAGAGCGTAGGTGGAGCTAGGGTTTTGGGGAAGCTTGAGGATGGGGTTGTGGTGGATCCTGGGAAGGGGTTTCGTGCCGGAGGGAGAAGCTCGCCATGGGACGTCGTCGGAGAGCAACACTTTCTTCGACGCGGCGCCGGCACCGGCGGCGGAGGAGGACATTTGTGATTTTTTTTTTTTTTTTTGACGGAGGAGATTCAGGGTATTATCCGAATATAAATTGAGGAGGGAGTTTTAAAGTATGAGGATATTACAAGTGGGCCCAAACTGAGTATTTCTGTCCGTTGTGGCCCTTGTGGGGACTTCGAGAGTGTACTGTTGTATTGTTGCAGATAGATCCCATAGTGAAATCTTTTCTTTTTTTTTTCTTTTTTTTTTACAACAGATTTCCCTCTGGTTCTTTTTGCAATTATATAAGTACAGGGATAATAAAATGCAGCCTTACACCAAAGTGTCTAGCCGAGTTAGTACCTATGAATAATACTCCAAGGTTTCAAGTTCGATTGTCCTAAAAAAATCTTGTCATTCTACATGTGTCTTCTTCGTTCGTTTATATATTTTTATGGGTTTTCAGGACACATGACGAGGAACCGGACTTTCTCCAAAGCCCATCATAACCGCACAATCCAAATCCTGGCGACAACTTTGTTCATTATCTACTATTATGAGGAGAGCAAAATGCCGCAAACGCGCTGCCCTATTTTTCTATCACCTCCACCGTATAGCCGAAAACAGAAACTCTCTTCGTGAATGCCCGAATGAGAGACGGTCTCTTGCCCGTGCAGACTAAGATGAGCACATAAATTTCTCCCCTCCATATGATTGGGAATCCGATGCTGATGCCTTCTAACCAGTTGTTATCATGCGCGGGCAATAAAGCGAGGTACATGCTAGTAGTTTTTCCAAAGGGCACGTCCCAATTATCTCCATCTCACCGGCAGAGGCGCCGCTGAGGTGGTTCTTCCGGTTCCGCAGAACAGGGCCTCCCACTTGGTGTGGGGGGGGACTCCTCTCTTCCAAGCACAACTCCTCTCTTCCCCTGCTCGCCTCAGCTTTCCCCTCACCACCATCCCCTCGCCCAGATCCGCTCAGCCCCGACCACCGTGCCTCCGCCCCC